CAACACACACTCGTCTCCCTCCCTATTCTAAGTCGTGGCAAACAACGTGTTACTGTCCCGGGAAATAAGCGTCATAGTCCATGTACCAGGACAGCGTGCCGTTGACCGGGTGCACCCCGAGCACAGGGAACTCATCCACGCTCTTTGACCCCTCCAGCTTGCTGATCACTTCCTGTTTGTGTTTCCCTGTGGCCAGTATGGCCACGTGCTTGGCTCTGTTTATGGCGGGGAGTGTGAGGGTCATCCGTCGTCGGGCAAAGTCCGGGCCCTCGTCGTGCGTGACCACCAGTGTGGAGCTGTCCACGTGGAGAACGCTGCTGGCAGGGAACAGCGAGGCAACATGGCCGTCCGCGCCTGCGCCCAGCACGATAAAGTCTAGCTGAGAGTTGGGCACCGCGTGTCGCAGAGCATCAGCGTAGGCGTGAGCGCCCCCTAGCTCCTGGTCGCACAGCCGCCCGCCCGCCACCACGGGCATGCTGTGGATGTTGGCGTAGGGGATGTCCACAAAGCGGAGAAGCTCTCTGTCCAGAACCTGAAAGTTGGAGCGCTCGTCTTGGTGCGGCACACAGCGCTCATCCAGCTGCCACACGTGGATGGACTGCCAGTGGAGGTTGGCCAACGACTGAGCCAGCACTTGGAACAACTTGACCACCGACTGACCGCCGGGGAATGCGATGTGGAAAGACCCTTTGGTCTGTATCTCCACTTCGGCAGCTCGGTCAATTTCTTGAGCTAGTAAGAAGGCGAGAGTGTCCGTTCTGCTTGTGACTAGCCTCCGCCCCAGGAACGTTGCCGAACTCTGCGTGTAGTCGTGGTGCGAGCGGTCGCTGTGAGACAGCAGAGTCTTGTCCTGCTCCGACGCCAGGATGTCGTCAGGCGAGTGAGAAAACTCCAGCTGACTCTCTTTCATGATGAAATTGAGCTGCTCATGCGGATCAAAGCTTTCGTAAATACGAATCGATTTTTCGACACCTACTAAATAGTCCCAAATACGCCAAGATAAAGATAGATGTCTAGAGTTCACAAAGAACTCTCTTTTTTCAGCGAGGATGTTGCCCAAAACAGACTCGTAAGCCAGAGTGTTTCTCCCGACAGAGCCTACGTAAAAGTGGTCAAACCTTTCACCATAAGCTACAGAGGATGAAAACAACGTTGGGTCGATCGACTCTTGGACATTTTCCGGCCACAGAGGGTCACCAAATGATTTAGCCACCAAAATAGAGGGCCTCTTCATGCTCCCATGACCAATGTGAAAGATTATTTGTTTGGTGTGCTTTCCTTCATCATCCAAGCTGTCGTCTAGACAATGCGAAACACACACAAAATTATTTTTGAACACAATTCTGACGTAGGTTTCTCTTTGATCAAGTTTCTTCCCAGAGACCAACAAGAACGGGACAGACTTCCACCTCGGGGAGTTGATCTTCACCACAGCCGCTGCGAACGTTGGGACATTATCTCCTACAGAGGCGTTTGACGGCAGAGATTTCAGCTGATCCTTGTACTCGGAATACTGGCCAAACAGAGAGTTGTGCCGGCGAACAGACTCCACCTGTCGCAGCAGCCTCTCTTTGTTCTCGTTCACCAGCTTCGTGTTCCGCAGGTCGGCCGGCACGTCCATCGCAACGAGGGTGAGCAGCTCTGTCAGGTGGTTCTGATGGACGTCTCGCAGCACGCCCAGGCTGTTGTACACGTCCAGTCGCTCTGTGGACACACACACAACACAAGCTTACACATCTGTGGACACACACACAACAACAAGCTTACACATCTGTGGACACACACACAACAACAAGCTTACACATCTGTGGACACACACACAAAAACAAGCTTACACATCTGTGGACACACACACAACAACAAGCTTACACA